GGGAAGGCAGCAGGTCCGGAAAGGCCAAGAGCCTGGCGGACAGGAAGGGCTCAGAAGCGCCTCTTTCCGGTTCGTCACGCACACCTGCGTGAGGGAGCTGGCCTGTGCGCGTCGCCATCACAAAGCCTCCTCTTTTCTTTTGGGAAAGAAATGGATATAAATAAACATGTAAGAAAATGAAACCCACACTCTATCTCAGGGAGGCAGGGAGCTGTGCCCTTATAATTGGAGTTTCCGTAAAGTCGGGTTTCCATCAATTAGGGTGTCTTGTAAATGTCGGCCCCTGACGTCTTCTTCTGCAGCGTGAGGCTGACAGGGAGCTGATCACTCCTGTCAGTTTTTATTTTGGCGAACGGAGCCTTCCTACAGGGGGGGGCCTCTGCCACTCAGGGAAGGCGGGTGGGTCTCAGTCCTCAAGGGAAACCCAGAGGAGCATCTGAGGCTCAGGCAAATCCCAGCAGAGGGAGAGCAAAGCGCTCTGAGGACTCCAGGGTGTGCGGTGATGTGCCAGATGGGGCAGGGAGAGCCCTTTCAGCTTGAAGAAGCAGGAAACACAATTCAAATTGATTAAGCAAAAGATTTACAAACGTATATGTGTGTATATGCTAATTTACTACAGAGCCTAGAGGACTTTTCATCTGTTTACAATGTATTGCAATGTCAGCTTCAGGAACAGCTGGATCCAGGCACCCCTACTATAGCACCGGAACCTGATTTCTCCCCGCCTCCCAGCTCTGCAGCGTCCTGTGCTGGATTTTCCCTCAGGTTTCACGGGTGGGTTGTGGGAACTCTAAGCTTTCCCTTCATGATATAAGACAGTGTAGCTCCCCAGGTTCCCATTATTGCCGGTTTACTTTGATTGAAAGGCCTGATTTTTTTCCCAATGACCCGGGGTAATTCCACGGTGCACTCTGATTGGACAGGTCCAGACCATGTGACAGCCCCGAGCTAGTCGATGTGGTGGTGGGCACAATGCTTTAATCACCTTAATCCCGAGTCTCCGATCTGCCCAGCAGCTGGAACAGAAAGTTCCCACGGGTTCCCACGTGGGGAGGGGGAGCTGGTGCCCAGAGAAAGAGAACGCGATTCCAGTTCCAGAGGCAGATGGCGCATCTGTCACACACACTCCCATCTGTTGTACGACTGCAGTGCCCAGACGCTGGATGGTGCAGCGGGGCCACGGGGAGAGCCCTCTTCCAGCCCAGGGCTGGCCACAGCAGGACAGGGGCCGGTGGCCTGGACCCGCGGGCTGGAGGCCATCGCCTCCTTTATGGCCACAACTGCTATCAGATGAAGATGAGGACGCAGACAGGGACACGTGCCACCTCTTACTGTTTCCGGGTCTCTAGTGGCTGGAAGCCCCCAGGGCTCCGAGTGTAGGGTGGGGGCCACTCCTACCACAAGCACACAAAAGGCCTGGCGCTTGCCAGCTCCCGGGAGGTGACTTCTGAGCCCTTGGGACATCCTGCCTGACAACAGTGTCACTGCTTCCGTGGGGGGGCGGGATGCCTATGCTGCAGACTGATTCGCGCTGAGCCCGGAGCCACAGCTTCCGCCAGACCTCCGGGGGCTGGGGACTGAGGTCTCCGGCCAACGAAACCCCAGACACCAGGGCTCGAGAGAGGCCCCTGTTGTAATTCTTCACATGTGCGGCCACTCGTCATCGCTGGGAAAATTAAGTCCTGCCTGTGTGACGCCCTGGGAGGGGCAGCTGGAAACTCCCACCCCCCGCCCGCCCCTGCTCTCCATGAGGTTATTCTGTCCTTTAACAAACCGCCTCAGGGGCATAACAGCCTCGCTGAGTCCCTTCAGTGAGTTACTGAGCCTGGGGTGGCTTTGGGGGTCGCTTGAGAGGCACCGAGTGCCCACCTCAGAGCCAAGAACAGCGCCCAAGTCCAGCAGCAGTGACCGGCAACTGATTTAGGTCCTGCTCCAAAGGTCAGGGCACGCTGGGGGCCGCTCAGAACTACCACGCACACTCACGCATGGGCACACTCACACAGACACCCACATGCATGCACACACGTGCACACTCACTCACACGCATACCCTTAGAGCAGATTGGGGACGTCCCAAACCCGAGTCACTCAAGCCCGTGTCTGTGACTGTCACATCTAGATGTCACTGTGTCTATTTTACACTTAATTGCATTTTTTACTCAAAGAAAGACTCTATTCCGTCTCACAGAAGGAAAGCCGGCCTTACCATGCTGAACGGGACCCTTGAAAACAAAACAGTGTTCTCACCTGCGGCTGCGGTTGAGGCCGCGGGAGCGCGCGCCCCGGGCCTCCGCGCTGCGGGGGCGCCCAGCCAAGGGGGGACCGCTCTGGGGTGAAGTCACAAGGGAAGAGGGGAGCCGGGCAGGGAGCTGTCGCCGCGCGGCTCCGGGAGCAGGCCGTGCCCTGGGTCCTTTCGGACCACAGCCGCAGGTGAGGGCCCTGCACGCCCGCCCAGCCGGCGCAGATGGGTGCGCACTCCCGACAGCCAGCGCGCGCCCGCACGGGAGACCCGCTCACCCTCGGTCCGGGGGTCCGGGGGCGCTCCGAACAGCGACAGGGGCTGGCGGGGTAAGATCCTGCTGCGCGGCCTCGCGGCCCGCCTGGAGGCCGCCTCCGTGGTCCCTGAATCCGAGGCCGCCCCACCACACGCCGTGCGTGCCCCACCTGTGACCACGCCCAACACGCACCTGCCCGGCCCGCCCCCCGCCTCGCTCCAGGGGCTTCCGCGACCCACTTCCCACACCAGAGCCTCTGAAACAGTCCAGAAAGGCCGCCCCCGCCCCCTTCCGTGCGGTTTGCTCCAGGGCCCAGGCCTTGCCCAACACCAGGACCCCCCCAGGCCCCGCCCACCACCGCCTCTCCCTCCCCCTCAGCGCCCCTCCCCCCCGCCCCGGCCCCGCCCCGGCCCCGCCCATCACCAGGACACACCCCCGCCCCACCCACCACCGCATCTCCCTCCCCCCTCAGCGCCCCCCCCCGCCCCGGCCCCGCCCATCACCAGGACACACC